TCCACAATACAACTAATAAACAGCTCCCCCTCATAAAAGCTGACTAGTTAGCTAGTTAGCTAACCAAAGCCCTTGCATCCATATTTTCTCCTGGAAGTTGTCTTCTAGTATAGTTTGTACTGTTCTACTTAATTGTATGGGCATTACTGACCCTTAGCGATATGTGAATGCTTCCACTGACTCTACAAACCCTGTGAGTGCTATTCCCTACTTTGATTAATTAATGTTTTGTTCCCCAATTTGTCAAGTTCAGCTGGTTTTTTTGCAGAGATCATGCTCTATAAGCAATTCTTTTGCTACGTATGTAATATCTCTGCTCTAAGTAGCACTGAGAGCAGTGTGTTTGACCACTCTAAATTTTCTTTTTAGAGTGAATGCAAGCATATCAGAATCCGCACATTTCCAGAGCAGTAAGTCATGCTCTGGAAGGATGCTCATGCTCTGCCTGTATCATTGTTCAACTCATTTAATGTTTTGTTAGTTTTTTAAGTTTCTAGTTTTCCTAGCAAAACTGCAGGCAATTAACTTGCCAAGATGGATGGTGATGATCTATGGTGCCTATAAAAAATTTGCACATCATATATCTTGACATGAAATACGGGCTCTTTCTGTTGGTATAGCAATACTTGCACCAGTATCTTTTTGTTGATTGTGTCAGGGAACAAGGATTGAATCATTCTAAGTTTTCTTTCATTCAAGTAAAGTGAAAGGATTTACAGCAAATGTGGTGGAAACGTCAGTTGGGTGTGGGGGTTTTGGCAGCTTTAGCTTTAGTTGAGCTTTACTTGAGAAATGTTGGAAAGCTTTTACCTCATTTAGGATTAATAGATGCTTCTGATAAATTACAGAAAATGCTCTGTGATCTGAGTTACTCAAGGCTAGTTAGAAGATGTTGTCAGTCCATTTTCCGTAAGACTTGCTCCCTCCTGAAGGGCAAATACTTCCACAAGAACACTGTAGAGTGTTCTCAGTGAGACCAGTGGTAGCGAGCACAAAACTGAACTGGAGCCCTGGGGTGCAGCCCTGCCAAAACAGGCTTGTGCTGCTGGTTTTATTAAAAAGAAAGTAGGCCAGAAATCAGCTTATTCCCTTCTCTGCATCTCTTCGTAGAAAGCAGAACAACAGCTCACTATGTGTCTCGATGCAGAGTGCGCGTATGTGATGTCTGTATGGCTTGAATTTATGTTCAATAGCTTCACTGGAGCCAGAACATCGATCAAGTATGACAAAGCAAGAACAATCTCATCCTCTACTTCAGTCAAAACAAAGACGTGATGTTCTTTTCTTGCCCCTTGGTGATAATGGAAAGGGGAAATAATTTGAGTAGATGCCTTTAAAACAGATCCTGTTGCTATGGGTGTAATTTGTGGTACAGAGCAGCCTAATACTCCAGTATTTAAGTTATAAAAAAAAATATAACATTCAAAAGGGCACTGTCCCACCATGGAAAGCAGAAGCTTATTTTAAGTGAAATTTAAAATGAGGTTTATGCTAGAAACAGTTTCTGCACCTTGGTCAGGTTCCTGGCGTGCAAACGTCCGACCGGAGCGCACTGGATCGAGCCCAGGGGCTCAGTGTTAATCTCCAAGGCCCTGCCTGAGGCTGGCAGGATGCAGCGTGGCAAACAGCCCTCTCCTGACGTTGGTGACCTCTTGTATTGGCTATGTTCCTCAAGAGCTATCAAGCCCAGGAGAGAGAGTGCCCCTCTGCAGCGGGGCGAAGGATCTAATTGCAGGGGGGGGGGCAAAAATTCTCACATCTTTCCGACCTTCTGGAAATAATTTCCACAACTGTCAAAGTAAGGAGAAGAAAAAAGAGGTGACAGCCACAAGGAAGCAACAGAGTGGAAAGTGATCAGTGAAAAAAAGAAGTAGGTAGGTAAGTATACCTGTGCCTTTATAAACTGCATGTCAGGCTGGTCAAACACCCGAGCAGCGGGCATATGGGGACTAAGGAAAAAGCAGGGTTTTGTACCAAGATCGCTGAATGAAACCCTCACTGCGTGCACCCGTCTGTGCTCCCTTGTGTGCTCTAGACCCGGCTGACCTGCGAGCTCTTCCTCCCCTGCCTGGCGGGGCCGGGTTGTTACCGCTGCGGTACCTCTTGGCAGATAAACGCTGTTCTGAGAGCTCAGCTAGCTGCTTGCGAAATGGGCAATTTTGTTCTTCAGGGTTGTTAGTCTGGCACCTTTTCTGCACATTCAATTCACACAACACAGCGTTTAAAAATACGGGAAGCAGATTCTCTCCGCGCCTGGTGCCTAACAGCAAATCTTAACGTAAACAAAAAACTTCACGTCTTCTGTTGCGCTGACTGTGATTTAACACTTGGCCTTGGCAGTGTGGCGGGCAGACTTCAGCAACCGCCATCTCACAATAACACCGTGTCACGTGCGATGCCCCGGGGCACCTCGGTGTGGGTGCCCTGAGGAGGGGACGGGCAGTGATGTTGGTTTACGGAGTGGCAAATGGCACGTGCCCAGGGGACCCATGACCAAAGGTGTCCGTGGGTCTGGTTTGGGATTTCGTGGTGGCCGGTGGTAGTTACTTGTTCTGTGAATTAATTTGCCTCTTCCTCTCCCTGGTGCGTGTTTCCCACTCGGTTCTTAGGCCATCTCCCAAACCTGTGTGTGCTCCTGTTGCGTGTGTAGCAGCCGGGTTCCCACCCCCGTTTTGCTCTGATGACTCCCTGCCAGCGAGGGCGTTTCTTTCACGTTTTCATACTACGTTCCTGAAGGTTTGGTGGCTGTTCCCTGCTATTTGCTCAGCTGAGAGAATGAAAATTCAAACTGGTTACAGCTCCCCCTCCAACATTATATTCTTCTTTTTCCTTTATGAAGGCAAATTACTTTTATTAATGCTCTCAACACACATTATTGGCTCCCTGGCAGACAGATTTGGATATGGCAGAACAAACCTGCTATAAGAGCAGTGCCTTTCCCACTGTGAATACCAATGACCAATTTAATGGACAGGTCCCTCATCAGCATTTTTTAATATCTGGAAAAAGAAAATGAAGTCATCCGCATGCTTCTCAGTCTTGCAGGGACCATACTAAGTAGTGAATGATGAAAAAGCCTCAACTTACAGCAGTCAGACAATAAAGCTCAGTGAGTTTAAGAGCTTTAGGAGGCATCTAGCTCAGCTGTCTGAGTTGCTGTCTGTGGGTGTAGGGTCTCGCTGCCGTGAGCTGGGTGTTCTCTCTGCCCTATGAGTAAAGTGAGCACAGAGAGGCTGCAAAACCTCTGGATCCAGGTCAAACCCCAGCACTCACTGGGAATCTTTCCATTGCCCTCACTGGGGCTCGGATGAAGCGGTTGAGCCCTGACACAAGGAGGAGCGTGCATGGGATGGGCGAGACCTTCCAGGGTCTGTTTTTCTGAAATATCTATGTTCTTGCTCATGAATATCACGAAGGGGAGTAAGCAGCTCCTTGGCTGGGCAAAAAGTTGGCGCATAAAAATAAATAGTCACCTAGAAACTACTTTGTCCTAGAATAAGCATTTCAAGAGAGGGATGGTGCTTCAGAAAAAGTGTAGGCAAAGGGTTTCCCAAGGGCCACAGGACGTGCCACCGGTCTGCATGGGATGATGAACTTAAACCCACATCCCCAAACCTCACTTACCTCAACCCATTGCATGTCCAAGGTGAGGTCATTTTGATGATGATGGCTGAGCTGGGAATGCCTTTGTGCCTGCCAGCTGCTTTGCTTAGATTAACGTGCGTTGCGTGTGTTTGGGTATCCCAACCTGGGGTCAGCCACCGCCGGGGTCACACTAACTACTTTCTTTTCTGTTGTTGTCAGGTGTAAAGGATCTCCCTAGAAGCTAGCCTCTGTTTTCCCGAACAATGCAAATGCAAATTAAGAATGTCAGCTCTGTACCCAAAAATAAGATTTCAAAACCATTTAGCATTTCACAGTGGTTCAGTGACAACTTGAAGACTTGCAGTTGTCTCTCATGATGAGAGACAGGCAGAGTTCCCCAGCTCATACTCGGATCTGAGCACCAATGAATGCTTTATCCCAAAACTTTATAATATACGTGTTATTTGTAGTGCTTTTCAACTTCAAAGAGCTTGAAAAATATTAATGCAACTTCACAAAAGGCTTCTGTTCTCGCTGCCACTCTACTGATGGGAAAATGGAGACATGCCTGAGTCTGGCTGGGGGCTGCTGGGCCTCAGCGTGCCCGGACGGGGTCTGGCCGACGGCAGGGCCATGGGCAACCCCTTGCACCAGCACAAAATTGCTGGCTAATTTCTTGAAATGTTTGAACATGTCACGATTTCTTCAAAATGACCGGAAATTTTCTGTTCTGAATTCTGTTTTTCTTTAGACTTGTGGACAGGTAAGTGCGGAGGGAAGGACGCTTTGGTGTCCTTTTCTCCCGCTTTTTAAATTATCGGGTGAAAAAACTGCAGTGTAAACCACTTTTCCCCGTCTTTGGGGGAAAATGCTGAGCAGATTCTGAAAATTGAACTGTAAAAAAAAAAAAAAAAAAAAAGACACCCACCTCTTGGTGCGGGGGGACCATGGTGGTGCAAAGGGCTCGGCCGGGGGGACTGGGTGAGCGTGTGGGGCTCGGGGAGCCCCAGTCCCCCCCCAGTGCCGCAGGTGGCTGTGGCAGAGCACTGCGGGGGCTCTGCAACGCAACCAGCCTGCGCAGCATCCCCCTTCAGCGATGCCTCGGGTGTACGTTTCTTCAAGCACGCATAAACAGCGATGCGCTTCTGTAGTATTTTCGGGGCTGACTCTCCTGGGTGTTTCAGTCTAAGTCCTTTCCTTCTTGGCAGCTACCTTGAAGGATTTTTCCTAAAATGTAGTGTTATATACGTATGCAGTGAGCAAAGCACGGTATTCTTAAAAAGCCCATTCACGAGGAACAGATGAGAGCTCCGTATAGTAAATACCACCCAGAATTACACTGTCATTCTGGACCTAGCAGAATTTGATGGGCCAGGTGATTCATCCATCAAAATCAATTTCCAGAAAATCATGCTACTGGAAGATTATGCTTTTTATTAAAGGAAAATATCACTCAATGTTCAGTACTTCTTGGCTTTGCCATCAAAGTTTAAGCAGAACAGAAACTGTATCTTGTGGGGTTTTTGTGCTTAATTCAATAGACTGGAACTGCAGGGTGTAAATTTGTAGGAGAAACTTTCATCCCAATGCTAGGCAAAGTATTTTTTTAATTTATTTTTAATTTTAATAGTTTATTAGAACAGCATAAGGATCTCCAATTTATTCCAGAGTGGTGAGCTAACCCTTCTTTGGGGAGGTAGAGGAGTATGGCATGAATGGGGAAACAGACTCCCCCTGGAGCTAGAATTTCTTGCTGTCTCTCTCTGACCAAGTGAGGTGTAAAAGCCTGACATCCTTCACGGATCTGCTCTTTAACCCTAACTCCACCAAACATCTCCTCCCTAAGAAAGCTGTCTTCTCCATGGCACGAGCTGTCTCACATCCAGATTTTCCCCCAACCGCATCAGTCCAAGGCATCCCCAGATGGGCACAGAGCAGTGCCACTCACCCACGATGGGGCTGAACGCTCTTTCTGCTGTCTTAAAAAAAAAAGAGGAAGGGGAAGAGGGGAAAAAATAAAAGAAACAAAGCAATAATTACAATTGAACATGCCTTGGTTCAGTAAAAAAAAAGGGGGGGGGGAGGGGAAGAGGGAAAAAATAAAAGAAACAAAGCAAAAATTACAATTGAACATGCCTTGGTTCAATAACGGCTTAGTTAATGGAGTGCACGTTGTATAGTGAGACCCAGACATTTTGAAAAATACAAATCTTTTCGAAATGCTTTCTGTTTTCTTTCACGGGTGCTGGGAACATCAGTGCTCGGGTTCTGCATCCATGCAGGTCTCCCAGGGGTTCTGGGGGAAGCGAGGCAGTGCGATGAGGAGGAGGGTGATGCCGCAGATGAAGAGCAGGACAAAGGAGGCGCAGGCACAGGCGAAGGACCAGGAGTAACTGTACTCAATCCAGACTGTCTCCTCGCTGTCGATCATCCTCTTCACAGATTGTCTCATGACTTCCACAGAGATGATGATGCAGAGACCTGAAGGAAGAGAGGACCAGTGGGTTGAATAACCAGCTGTCAATTTTTCATCCTTAATTAACCACCTTATCTGTCTTTTTGCATACAGGAATTGCGGTGAGATTCACAGGTGAGTCATTGACTGTTTGAAGGAACCAACGCTCACAACTGCTTAGAGCTCTGCTATGACCCAGGCCATCCAAGTCAGCCGGTGACTTGTTGAGTGTGATCTTTTAGGCAGGCTTGGATGGGAAACTCGAAGCGGTGGAGGAATAATTGCATTCCCTAGGGAGCCTTTCCAGTGAGAGTTTGGTTGAGGTGACAATTTGCACCTCTGTCTTTCAGTCATTGTGGCACGTCAAGGTATTACTAGCTCGTGTAAAAATGCAGTCTTCAGGTTTTTGGGAGACAGCTGTGTATTTTGGGCCTGGATCAGCTGTTTTCTTGGTTTGAGTCTTAATAAATGAGATAGAATAGTGTATATCCCTGGTTTAGACTGGGGCCAGAACTGAATATGTTAGAAATGTCCCTTTTAAAGGTAGTTGGAGAAAATACAGACAAGCTGCCGGCTAATGCTTGCTGAGCAGGACATTTTCAGAGCTCTTCAGCTGGAGCACCACACAGGGACTTGTAGTCTGACACTGGCTAGGAAGAAAATGCCACTTTCAGGGCATTTTTAGAAGTGTCTCCATCCTCCCAGGATCTATCTAAGTTTCTCTACGTTGTCCTATGAACTGAGTGCAAGTATGTGAGCACCGAGCCTCCTACCTGCGAAGGTGTAGAACATGGATGCTGGCTTCAGCAGATAGTCCCTCTTCTTCGTGAAGGATAAGAGGACGCAGATTGTTCCGATGATTGCAAAGCCGATGCTGAAGATGGCAATGGCTGCAGCTGAAATGCTGTATTCTGCCAAAGCAAAACAAACACAAAAATGGCAAATGTCTGCAAATTTTGAGCATGCTTCCGTCAGCTGTTGTGACTTTGCAGTAGGTCACTGAGAAATACGTATCCTCCCACTGCTGCGGAGAGGTGGCTCTGGTGAATTGATTGTTTCCCTCAGATAAAAGCAGGGACAAGTGTTGGCCATGTATCTTTTGAATGCAAAGGGTATAAAAACAGAGCAGGAGGGGGAAACGCTTTCTGAACACTTACTGAAAGAGCAAATGGCACCTGTATTGCTCTGATGAAGCTCTGGGCTGGAGTCATTTTAGCTCTGCTGCATAGATGTTATAGTTGAAGCCTTGCTGAGCTCCACGCTCTCATTTCTTCCATCACTCCACACTCTGATCTTAGAGTAAATAGACAGCTCTATGCTATTTTTATTCCAGATCTGTGTTGCAGAGCCCCGACAAGGCCCCCGTGCATGGTGCCGATGTACCGATGCAGAAAGACAGCTGTATGCTCTATAGGGCTTAAAATCCAAGCAGGCAGGAGGCCAGAGGTGAAGTGTTTGCATAGCATCTTTTTTTTTTTCTTTCCTTTAAGACAATGATTTCCAGCTCTGAAAACCCGGCTTCTTCAGGGCATAGGATTAAACCCTCCATAAAATGTCCTGGTTTTTGCTAAGCCAGGTAAGATGTGCGCTGGACACTTCCCCCAGCCGAAGCACAGTTCAGTGCCTGAATGGAGGGGAACAATTGCTAATTGAATAATTCAGGCCTTCATTTACATATTGCATTCGTTTTCAGATTAGATATTTAACACATGTAGCCAGGCATGAACATCACAGTGCCTAATGATATTTGCCTTTCAAGCCATTTAAAAAAAAATATCTCCCAGGCAAAATCATGAAGATTTTTTTCTCCTGCTACTAATTAGCTCCCATCAAAACACGCCTATGTCTGCGAAAGGGAACAGCAGACCACTCTTTGTTCCCATTGCCTTTCATACCACTGTTTTATTATAACTTCCTTAATGTTTCTCTTTACTATGTGCTAGAACTGCCTGAAAGAGTTCGTTTCGATGTAAAGTCTTTTGCTGCGGCTTAAGCTTTTTCTTTTACTTCAAAGAAGAAAAGTTCTTCCTGATTTTTTTCTGAAATGACTAAGAAGACATTGGGTATGTTTTTAACATCAGATGGCTGGAACCGATAGTATATAAATAAGCAAAAGCAGGTAGCTCAGATACATGCTCTTCTATCCACTTAAAATTCCCAGTCTTTCCTGTCTTAGGAAACTGCATTTTTAGAAAACCTGTGTGCAGAGTTTTCCACCATTATAATTTCCACTGGAAGCAGAGCAGGTTGTTTAATATGTGTAATGTAATCATCGGCTCATTTACTCCACAGCAACATATGTCGGGTGGCAAACTAGAAAGGAATTTGTCCTTAATGAGAGGGCGAGAAAGAGAGGGGAGCACATTAGATGAGTGCTAAAAATATTCGGCTTTATCAGGGACTTATTGTGAAATTTGTCTGTGAAAGACTGTTTTCAAAATCCATGTCTGTAAACCCTGCCTGCGCGTGTCTTTGTAGGATCTCTGTTCCTCCCTTCCATTGATAGCTCTGGTTTTTACATGACTTTCATATAAAATCAATATGAAGCATAAAATTCCTAATGGTCTCCACAGAGTGTCTGTACTTCTTTTCAGGGTCAAGACTTTGCTTGGGGTATGATTTTTTCATTTAGATTTTATTAATGTCGTCTTCCTTCGATGGCAAAGGCTCAGAGTGTCGCAGCTAGTGCCAATGTTGTAAAGTCATTTTTATGCTGAAAAGACTTTTTGCAGTTTTCATGTGTATTGACATTGTTATATATTTGTGGGACAACTTTGAGTAAAATCACACTTATGAGTGTGATCATATATAAAAATTATTCTTCCCAGGAAGCTGGCATTTGACCTTGTTCAGAGCATTTGTTTTTACATTTTTCCCAGCTGGTGGTATCCGATAGAAATCCGTCTACTCCTTTCAGCGGAACCAGGATTGAACCCTCGTTTTGGGGACCCCTTTACCTTAGATCTTGTGTGCACCTCAGTTAGGAAAATATTTTTCAGGATCATTCTTACCTTTCTGGGTGGTTACTTCAAATATCTCCGAGCTCTGTCCTGGTGTGAAGTGCTTGAAGTAGGAGCAGTTGTGTTCTAAAAGAGAAAAGGAAATTTAGTGTGCTTGGAAATCTCTGATAAAATGTACTAAAACTGAATTTGCTTTTTATTGATGTATCAAGCTTGCAATGTTTTTAAGGTTCCCTACCCTTGGTAGCACAGAGAAATTGGGGTTGGATCTGTTTTACTCGGGAGCAGATGAGTGGCACGCACGTGCCAGGCCACCGGCTGCAGCATGGACAAGGCTGAAGCCCCCTCTGATACCTTTTGTGGGCTGCTCCCTCCAAGAGCTTTTCCCGCTGATTGCTCATCTATTTAAAACATGAATTACAGATAATTTTTCTCATTCTGTCTTTGGTCACCCGTCCCTGCCTCTCTGTGTAGGAGATGTATTTCCTGGTGATGAGACCGGCCGTGCCCGCAGCTGAGCTGGTATCTCAGCTCACCTCCCCTCGCCACTGCCAACCCACTCTGTAGTGGCATCGCCCCACCGGCCGTAGGAGGGTCACTGCTCCTCTGGTGAGCTTGGACTCCAGAAAAGGAGGACGGAGTGTCCTTATCCACATTCTCTCTCCCAGCTCACCCCTTCTCCAGCTCATAGACCCCTGCGTGGCAGTGGCTGGCAGGGGGGAGCAGCCCGGGGGAGTTTGCTGCATTGGTGAGAGGTCACCATACTATGGGGGTCCCAGAGATGAGGCTGCTGCAGTGCAGCAGAGCACGGGGGTTTTTTACTACAATAGGGACCCTGAGGGCTTTTTTTTTCGGCTGTTAGACCAAAAAGACAAAAGCTATCTGAAGCCGCAAACGGTTGTCCAGGGAAAGGAAGGCTGATCAAAGCCGTACGGGTCAAGGGCGAAGAGGCTCTCACTCAATCTGGCTTTACCAAAGTTCACTCCAATCAGAGCAATCTACTAAATTAATTTGATAAGATAGCAGAGTCAGATAGTGGGAACTTTATGAAGTTCCTCTATCTGGACTTTACGTGAGCACGCTGCCACGTACATGGGATATTTATAGAGGGGTTATAAAGTGAACAGGGATCAAGATTGTGGGGCGGGGGGATACTGGGAGGAGGGAAGTTGGTAGCTGAGTCTCTCAATGGCCACGATACTGTTTCATACTCAGCCTCGTGAGAGTCAGCCAGCGAAGAGATGTCATTGCTGTCAGTAGATACACGGGAGGCTTTCAGCCTCAGCATCTCAGCAGGATGGGGAAGGGTCTGGTGAGGACCTGCTGACTCGAAGCTTTGGCAGCAGCAGGGCTAGGGTGGAGGGTGTTCTCGCTATTTATAACTGATTTAATTGAAGGTTTGAAGGGGCGCGGAACTGGGAGAACAAGTTGCTCGCCAGGAATTTGGCTGGAAGGGTGCAATCGCGGAGACGCGTTGAGCCGCGCCAGCTCTGATTGCGCTATTCTGCTGAGCTGGGCTGGAGAGGACATGCTCGGCGCCTGCCCCAGCACCCCTCCTGCACCCCAGGTTGGACTCCCATCAGACCGGGAAATCACACCAAGATTGCACGAAATACAGGCATTGCCTGCGGTGAGGTGCCACTTGGTTAACACCAGCAGCTCTTGTCCATTAAATAACAGAGTTGGCACCAATTTCCAGGAGATGCTGGGAGAACGTCTGGGAGGACTTTATGGTCCTCTCCAGCATCTGGGCCAGGACATGCTGCTACAGCACAGGTCGCCTGAGCCAGGTCCCTGGTGCAGGACCATGCAGGGTCCTGCCTGGAGACACGTCCTGCATTTTGGCGTGTTTTTTACAGCATTAATTTCTAGTGGCAAGAGGATACCAGAGTGCTGTATGTTACCTGTTGGTTCTTGTGGCTTTTCTTCTGTCATGTAAATGGCAGATTTGGAGTTACTGATTCAAGGAGGATTTATTTTCTCTCCCAGGAGATAGGCAATTGTAAAGCAGCATTTTTGGGCCCATTAGTGGAAGATTTCTTTGAGACGCTCTTATCTACTTAGTTTTATAAGCTGACTTTTATTTCATCTGCAGCTTCTCCTTGCTGGAGACTAGGTTAATGTTCAGCTCTGGCATCTCCTCACCTGTTCTTTATTATCCTTGCAAACGACTGGAGGAAACACATTTGAACTCAGACCTCTATGACTGAAATTGCAAATTTGGAGCCCCAGAGAGGAGGTTGCGTGCCTCTGCCAGCGACTGAGAGGTGGCTGAGGCTTGAGCATCCAGTCTGGCGATCCCAGTTTGGGGATCCTTTGGCTCCTGTGGGAGGGGAGGGAGATGGGATGAAACTGGGACACTTCATCTTGGATTGTTTGGTTTGGCTTTTAATTAATTCTCCGAAAAGGCTGAACTCAAAGGAGTCCCCAGGCGTGCTGACTGTACAAAGCCCAAGGTGAAGCCATCCAGACATGGAGTGATGGGGGACACAGCACCGCTTCGTGTCCGTTGCAGGTAAACCAGCCCAGCCCAGTCCACCATCCAGTCTGTGGAGGCTCGGCAGAGGGGCAGCACACAAAACCTTCCTTTGGAGATGGACTTGTCTGCAGGAAAAGGAGCTGCCTCTGTGTTTGTGGCTTATAGCAGAGCTCTGCCAAGGCACAATAAATGGGGTTACCACAGAAGCTGGTTAGCTCTAGGGGAAGTGTTTTTGGAGAATGCATTTATTCTGGCAAAATATAACTGGATTGTTTTTGGTAAAGTGATATATTGTTTTCACTTTAAAGATGCTTTGGTGCTCTGCTGACCTGGGAATATCTGTTTCAACAAGGCTCCCTGTTATTCAAGAGAATGGAGGCACTTCAATGCCTCTCTGGTGCAACCATGAATAAGAGAAGAGCCCATTTGTGTCACATCACATTTACATAATGGATAGGATTTAAAATGGGTTTTATAATGGATGAAAACCGTGTGGCAATCTTTGTTTCTCTCCACCCCTAATTGCTTTACCTCTGCCACGAGGTCACCAGGAACAGTCCAGGGGCTCTGTGGTGTGAACTTCAGGGTTGTAACGTGGTTTATCACACGGTGTCCTCTCCCTTCCAGGTCACCCACCCTTACAGCCCTCCTGGCCCCTTCCCTTCACATCCACCATTCCCGGATGACCGCTGTGCGGGGGCGAATGGGCCAATTCATCTTTCCTCTACTCGTGCAGAGCCACCCTCTCCTGCCGCCATGGGGCTGGACGGCAGCTACCGCAGCCGTGGGAGGCAGTCAAAACGCAATCGCGTTGAGCTATGGTTGAAACTTGGGGGTCTGCAATATGGAGACCTCATGGGGGAAGAAAGGGCAGAGAGGCCACAAGGCGTTTGGAGCATGCAGAGGTTCAGGTGGCAGCTGTCACCCATGAGCGTTGGAGTGACAGGCTGGGGAAGGGGCTGGAGGCCACCTTGCTCTTGAACCTCAGATGGGCGCTAGCATGTGGGGTTTTGCGTCAGGCTGGATGGTTATAAAAACCTGGATTTTAATGTGTGGTTTCCACTTGTGTTAAGTTTGGGAGACAGGAGCTGCTGCTGTGATTAGGGGAGGTGTTAAGGTGAGGGCTGCGCAGTGGAGGGGGCCAGACCTTGGGCTCTGCCCTGGCCAACAAGCCAGGGGAAGGCCTTTGACACACACTGAGGTTTGGAGATGGCAACTCCAAACAGTTTAATTTCATACCAGTCTTGCAGAGCGAGTCTCTTACATGGACACGGGGAACAAGACAGCCCTGCTGATAACCCATTTGCTCGAGCACTTTTCCTCTCCAGTCACTGGAACTCAGGTTCCCGTATTTACAAGGACCTATTTCACCTGCTGGTGGCACACGCAGGCTGTAGAGCGTCCCCGCAGCTGCCCAGCCTGCAGGCGCACAAGAGCCCACTTTGCAGGACAACACCTACGCTGGAGGTACCGGCAGCGAAGGCGAACTCAGTTCACAGCTGGTAGGAAACTGCCCCGGTGCCCACTGACCACAGTTAAAAATGTCTCAGTATTAATCTGAATTTGCCTGGCTTTAACAGCCGTCTCCCTGATCTTTTTATTTCTTACAGCAGGATGCTGAACCCTTTCTAATTTGTCAACATCCTCGGAAGACCGCTGTAAAATTTTAAAGCTCTGCCTAAATCACAGCCCTGCTTTGTGGACTGCGAGCCAAGTCATCCTCCCCATTTTGCACTGTGCTGAGCTCAAAACCTAATAAATAATGTTAATCATGCCATCCATTTCCTCCTCAGGGAGTGACTGGTAAATGGTTATTAATGCAGTGGTAAATTCTTATGTTTCTTTTCCAGTCCTGGCAGCAATGTCTGGTTATGTCTCATGATTTTCAGGAAAACCAGTGCCCACATCTGCTCTTTTACTGCACGTTTGTTCATTCACATTTTCTCAACTGCTGCAGGTTTCACAACCCCGGTGTTTCCCTGCCGGCATCTCTTCCCAGAAGTGTGAAATCAATCTAACGCGAGCCGTGCAGACGCAGCATCGTTTAGCAGCCCGAATCCGCAGGGGCTGTGCTCTCAGCCTCCACCCCATGCTGTGTTCCTGGTGTGAGTAAAACGGGGATTAAAATATTTATAATATAATCGAGGTGCGAAGTTCACCCTTTGAAACCTCGGATGCTGATTACGACGCAAGATGTCGTCCAAATTCCCAAATATCTTTAAAAACTGGAAAACCAGCTCCGGGGTGGGGCGGGTGGCTCAGCCCCTCCGCCGTCACCCCGTTGTTCGCTCTGCCCGGCAGAACGGCAGCGCTGGGACGTGATTCAACGCCCGTGCAAGCACATGCTGATGTCTGTCAAAGATGATAGCTGCTTTCATGCTGCCCTGCCTGTGAATCTTTTTGCAGACAGCTGGATATTTGAGTTCTATATTTACCCCACAGTTGTGCAATTTTGGTGTTTATCCACCAATTTCTATTGTTTTTCCTTTTGTGGGAGTTTTCCTCCGCGTGCGAGGAAAGGCAATAAGGAATATGTTTCCAGGCACGTAAGTACCTTCACGAGAGACATTAAGCATACGGATGACACACTCCCAAATTTGGTTAGAGGCAGATCCGAACGCTGAGGCTGAGCTTCTCTCTTCAGAACATGTAATTTGGCCAAAGAGATAAAGAATTGCAGTAATACAGGGAATATACAGTAAGCCCAGGCAGTAAGATTTTTCATAGGGAACTTTCAAATACGTGTTAACATATATATTTCATTTCAAGCAGTGAGTCTAACATGAAGGCAATCCTGTTATTTCTGTTCTGGAACGCATCCAGTACCCTGTGAGTCTTCTAAAAAAGCGGCGTAGCTCGGTTGCGGAGGGAGTGTGTGAGTGCATGCGGAGCGAATGTCGCTGACTTTGCGATCGGCAAAAACATAATGAGCTCCTTTTACCACGGGAATGTAACGGTCGTCCTGGAAAGCAGCCGTACCTGCTCCCCTGCCGCCCTCCCTGCTGACTGCACTGGAGGAACCCGTGATGGAGACGTGTGGGACCAGGCTGCCTCCGCCGAGAGATGAGGCGGCTCAGTAAGTCATTGAGAAATTGCTTCAAACTCAGTTTACAACTTTTTTTTTTTTTTTTTGAAAGTTGGCAAAACGTACTGCGGGTCCCTGTTCCTCCCTGCCCTGAGGAACGGTTGTTATTGAAATAGCTCGGAGATAACATAATACCAGCCGTGAATAGGCTGTTCCTTTGTAGCTATATGGATCTGGAAATCCTAAAGATCCAGCTACGTATGGTGGACCCATAAATTCTCTTTCTTGGCCGCTGCCGTCAGCGTCCCTGGGTGCTGTGGGGCCCTTGGCTGATGTCAGCCAAAATTCCTCTATCCCAATTTCACTCTGTGATTTCCACCGTGTCCGATCCTCCTCCCTTTCTCCCCGCCACTGTCGTCGTTGCACAGGAGACTCAAATATGGTCACAAATAGACGCGCAATGCAACACAGCGCACTCTTACAGCAAGAGGGATGACAACGAGGTGTGTTTGCAGACCGACATGAAAACAGCCCCATGCAGCCCCATGCCAAATTAAGTGCCACGGGAACATGGACCCTATTTTCCTTCTGCCATGTCCTGCAACCTCCTAAGCAAAGCCTGGCATGACCGCCTGGTGCTTTCTCCCATGCATTGGTGGGTGGTCACCTACCTCCTGGCAGGCTTATCGGCCCACAGCCCTTCACTTTGGGACCTTGCTCCTGCATAAAGATCCGCTTTATACAGAGTCGCCATAGCCCGAAATGAGCCGCTTCGCAGGTGGCATTATATTCCTCCACTCTGGGGCTCAGCACGGCCCAGTGGTCAGTCACTACGGCTGCAAACAGGAGCGAGACGCCAACCAGGATCACGGAGAACGTCAGCCGGACCTTCAGGGGTTTGCTCTGGTCCATCCTGCTCCGGACCGAGCGCGGCGGGTGATTCGCGAGGTCTCCCGAAATCCTGGCACATCTGAGCGTTTGCAAATGTCAGCCCCGCGCTGCCCAGGGAGAGCGGGGCGGCCGCAGACAGCTGCTGGGCTGTGTCAGCCGGCGCAGCGAGGAGGCTATTAATGCACGTAACGAGAGGAGCGCCCGGCAGAGCTCAGCTTTCCGCCCCGGCCCGCCAGGTTTGTTTTGGATTCCCACGAGCTGACTGGATGGGCGCTCGCTCAGAGTCGCTACAGCCGCTGTTCAAAGGCTGTAATCTCTTGATGTGCAGCATGCCCAGAAATAGGCATTAATAGGGTGATTAACTTTTCAGCTAGGTTATAAAAACATCTGTGTTTATAGTAGCGTCAGGCCCGAGTTCAGTCTGATCCTAAATAGTTTAATAGCCCCAGAGCCCACAAACTGCACACCCACAGCTTCAGCTCGCGGCAGCCTCTGCAAGGAGTTCAGGGCTGGACGTCCCTCCAGAGCTGAGCAGTGTGGTGTAAAGAAAGTGACAAAATAAGCAGACTTATTTATTTTATTGTTTATTTTTATTATAATTATTTTTTAATCAACCTGAAGTATTCTGAGTAGTCTTTTTTTTTTTTTGGTGCCTTTTGCCCATTTTTTTTCTAATGCAAAACCTCTCGAGTGCTCGCTTTCTTTCCCACCGTCCAGGTTCTCCTCCATGCGCATAGTCCACATCCTTTCCCTCTTTCGGAAGTCACTTCTGTTGCCCTGAACCCAGATCGCCTGGGCTGGGGCCAACCTCTCTCCTTCCCTTTGATATTTCAGCTGATCGAAAAGCTAATTTGATGATAATGTCAACGCAGAGGCCACTGTGGGGATGACATTACAATTGCGATATCAAACTGAGGAGGGTGACAGTACATGAATGTCAAAACAATGGTTAAAAAAATGTCAGTGGAAAGCTGCAAATATCATGTTATCATGTCAAGATAATGTCAAAGCTACTCCGGTCCTGTTTTATGAACACCCCAATTTGATGATAAAATAAAGGTGCAGAGGTGTCAGCTCAAATTAATGAGGACAACATGAAGCCATGAGTTAAGGTGAAAGGGGAGTGTAGGAAAACAAAGAGTAAGTTAAAAAATATTGATCCAAAATAATTGTAATTGAAATATGACTTAAAAGGGTTAACGTTACTCTGCTTGACTTGTGACCGGGCTGGCTTAGACACCCCTGGGGAGCAGGGTGACGTGTCTGAACCTGGTATGGGCATCTGATGCCCTGGTCCTGCCGGGGAGGTGGGAGTCACGGGAAGGAGCAAAGGTACATGGTGCGAAACCGGAGGGGAAGGGGACTGGGGAGGGTGCTGGGGACATGGGGCAAGGCAGAGACCAGAGACCACAGGCACATCTGTAGGAAGATGCTCACAGCCCTGCGGAGGACTGTGATATGCTGGGTTGGGTCTGGGAGAAATATTAGAGGCTTGCTTACATTTAAACCAGAACCAAGAGTTCTCATGAAAGTGGAAAATCCTAAAGGGAACAGACTTTAAACCAGAAAAGGAATGCATTAAAAATGTAATGCCTTTTCCTTTGAAGTAGTCTCTTGCTAAATTTCACTGGACATCAGTCGATCTTAGGAGCTGCATCCTGACTTCGCTTCCTTGATGCTACAAACTCCACGGGTCCTCTGCAAGTTGAGTGTGAGAAAGTGAATGTGTGTTTGCAAACGTGGGCACAAAGCAAGGTCCTGGTTGCTGAGGAAGCAAGTGCTAATGATCGTGCTTTAGACTAATTATAACCTACAAGGACTGCAGGGGTGGGAACTCATTAATTTTTTTGTTGGTGTTGGTCTTTGTGTCTCTTCCAGCGTTGGCAAGAATCACACTTTTTGTTCTCATTTAAGTACTCCGATCTGGATAAATTCCTCAGGGTTTGGTTTTGTTTTGAGTTTTCTAATAATATTCAGGAAACAACTAAAGTGAAATCAGAAGGGAAAAATTCATCCTCCCCTCCCCTGCAGAGCGGAGCTGGGAGTGTGAACGAGACACAATGAGCTTCAACGTGAGCGGCGGCGCCTTCCCTGGAGCCTGGAAACTCACATTACTGCAGCTGAGGTGAAACATTGTCCCCAGCCCCAAAAAAGTGACCTAGAGCCACCAGTCCCTGGGAAAGAAACTATTTTGTGTGGGGTTATTGCTCCCCACGGGCTCTGTGGTTTTGCTACGTGAGCTGATGTAACCGTATTGCATAGGTGCTGCTGCCCGCTCCTCCCAGCATAGGCTTGGTGTGTTTTTGGGGACCGCTGGCAGGTATTTGGTGATCACGGCTTGTGGCCCCTGCAACCGCTGTGGCGAGAGCCAAAAGGCTCCTCTGCCCATGGGCTGAGCCTCTGTCCCCAGCCTGGGAATTTCTGTCCCAGTGTGGAGGCGAAGTTGCCCTCCCTGGGGGGGCTGGTGGGCTGGGTGGGCATCTGACAAACGCAGAAGCAAAACTGCTTTCTGGAGGAGTAAAGGACTAAAGGAAACCCCAGAGGTTGCCTGCACATCCAGAAGACCACGGTACATAATCCTCTAGGAACGGTTCCTGCAGTCTCCCTGCATCAGCTGGCAAGTATTCACATTTAAAAATCAATATCACATGAAATATAAACAGACTATTAATGAGGACCTGTTGGGAAGCAGGAAGGGTTGTAATTAGTTGCACTTTAGCAGCAGTGAGCGACACGCAGTAGTGTTTCTCTACTGGAGAAAATGCTAAAGGAGGTATCTCAAGACCAACTATTACATTATTTTGTCCCTAGCAGAGGCGTTGGCTTGGCTCTGCTCCCCAGCGCTTGCACTGTCCTATATTTCTTACTGACCGGCCTCCATATTCACCACATCCAGATTAACCAAATTCTGCTGTTCCGTTCTTGCAGAACGATGTTCTGCAGAAGACCCTTCCCAGGTGAGAATTACCCAGAGCGGAGGAGATTGCACCTGGCCTGCTCTCGGCTCAGACGCATTTTCAGCGAACAGCTTTCTTCAGATGGGAGCTCCTTAGCAATATTGGAGCTCCTGAGCCTGCATCGCCCTGGTGCGGTGAGACCACCCTGATCATGGTTGGCTCTGCATAGCTGATACCCGGGAGTACCGCCAGTGGCACCCTCCAAAAGCTCCCTAATTCTGGGGCTGAAATCCTGCTGTCACTGAAGGCGAGAGCAAAATGTGTGTCTGTGTGTGTTTTGGTAGGTGTTTTAAATTTTTTTAATAGACTCTTACGGGTATGAAGAAGGAGATATGACCCCGCACCGCTGGACGCAGCCCAGCCTCTCCGCGGCACCAGCCCCGCAGCCCCACGGAGCGCAGGCAAGGCTGGCCATCCCTGCCGCTGCCCACGCGTCTGATCCGCGGCTTCGTTCTCTTAAAATACCAACCGCCGTGCCGGGTGTGCTGTTTCGGTAAGCGATCCCTTTAGCTCTGGTGAAGCGAGGCGGCGGTGGCTGTAAGACGAGCTGTTTCACAGACAGGTGCAGAGCACTCCTCATTCCTTTTTATTTTCGGCACCTCCCATGTTTGTTATTTTTCTCATTCCAAGAAAATGCCACATCCTCCTCGCTGGACTCTTTTTCCACTTTCCGAAGCCTTAAGGATTCTGTCTTTGCTTCCCCCTCAAACAACATCACTTTTTGATACATCCCTGTTCACAGCAGGGCAGCCAGAGCTCTTGGGGTCACTATTGACCCCCAGACTTGCTCAGCAATGTGGGAAGAGCCTTATTTTAGTTCAAGGGAACCAGCTTTGGCCTTGAGCTTTGAATGGCTTCACTACCGGGTGTCGGAGGCATTTGAAAAGGTGAATCCCCTGCCTCCCTCCAGAAGTGCCAATTGATCTTACGTACGGGGAGAGGCAGGCAGATAGAGATACGCAGGCGGTCTTCATCTTTAAAGGCAATCTGGAGGCTTAAGAACTGGGAAAGTAAAGTTAAAAGAGGTATTTGAAGAAGAAATATTGTCTCTGATGCAGGGATGGTTCGGGATGTCTGGGAGCGGTGAGAGGCTGCTGAACTGCCGACCCGTATCTGGCACCGCTCGTACCGCCAGGATTTTATGGTGGTGGTCAGAGCAAGGCTTTCGTGGAGCTTCAGCACGCAGGGTCGAGCCTTCTGCAGGCAGAACGAACACGAGCTGGGAGAGGAGTATGCTCAGAAGCGAATTCACATGCAACCTCAAAAGGTGGAGGCAAAGCACAGGCTCGGGGCTAGGACTTTTCTAGAAGACACTGGCTAATTTTTGTTGATGGTGATTTGCAGTGCTGCTGGCCACTACACCAGTCTCAAACCGGGCACCCAAACCAGAGTGTGTCTCATACGGGCCAAGTTTAAGCTGGAAACTAGAAGGTTTTTCTTAGTTTCCAACCCAAATGCCTGGAAATTTTGTGAAGAGAGCTTATCTTGGAGAATTCTTGGTCTGTGGGACCACAAGAATTTTTTTTCTCTGACATATTGGCTTCCAGTAACATCCCCAGCTGCAATCAAAATAGGTAGAAATGTGAAAAAACACACACAGAAATCTCAGCTCAGAGACTTTGCAGGTTAAAAATCTATATACCTTTCTCCACACAAAAAAGAATACATTTAAAATGGTTTATTTAAAAAGTAAGGATTAAGTACATTATACATGGTTGTGATTATATCAGTAGAACTGAAGCACAGTGGAAAAAACACTTTAGAACTGCAGACAGAAAAGTAACCTCAAGGGACATGATATATTAGCCCTTGTGGATACGTGATCCATACAGAAAGAAAAAGAAATATAAAAATAGTTTATTGTTAGATGTACGGGCATATGAAGTGATTTCTCCTTTTACTCCTATTGTGTATGAGAAACTAGGGAGAGAGAGCTGACAATACACCTGAAACTTTGTTTCTCAGAAAATCGAATCTGATCCAATAGCATTTTTTTTTTTAGGTCTGCTGTTACAGTATGTTATAGGATAATACCAAAAGACCGATTATTGTTGATGATGGGATGATGATATCTGCAGGCCTTGTTGAGAAATGGGGGCTAATTTGTGTTTGATGCTGTCCAGGGAAACCAGAGCGATGTGGAAGAACAGATGAATTTTTTTTTTTTTAACTATCACTGAGTGGTTTCAAAGTCTGAGCACACCCTAATTCTGTTCAGATAGATCAGCC